CAGATGAACCCAAACAGGAAAATGAAGTGATGGTTGAGCCAGAAGAAGTAATACAAGCTGTACAAACAGCCACAATAGACTCAGAGGGGGACAGCCTTGTATCACTTGAAATGGAAGTAACATCAGAGGATCTTCCAGCAGTGGAAACAGTTATAGATGAACCAAAAGAGGAAACACTAGTGAGGGTTGAGCCAGAAGAAAAGCTACCAGTGGAAGCTGCCAAAACTGAACATGTTCAAGAAGAGGTTTTAATGCATATGGATGTAGACACCGAAAGTATTGAGGGAGGTCCTGCTCAGGAACTTGAAAGGCAAATATTGTTAGAAGATACTGCCAAACCAGACGTTAACAATGTCATTGCTTCAGTTACAGATGAAATTGAGAGTGAAATTGTGACACAACTGGGTCAGACTTTAGCGATAACAGAGGATCAAAAAACTGAGAGTATCCCACAAGTTGAGCAGGAAGACAGCATCCCTGAAGTTGTAGATGAGTTACAAACATTAACAGCAGTTCATGTATCCTCTGTTAATGAGGAAGCAGGTGATGTTCAAGTCCTAGGAAAGACTGCATTTCTTGAAAAAAACTCAGAACCTTGTGCAGACAATGCTGCAGTTGCAGATGAAGCTAAACAAGAAGTGCTTCTTAGTGCAGTGGAAGTCAGTGTTGAAGGAGAAAAAGAAACTGAACTTCCAGACACTAAGACAAAGACTGCTGCAGTTGAGCATGCTGTATTGGCGCAAGTAGTCATATGTAATCTCAAAGATGTCTCAGTTGCAATACCTGATGTTTTGATAGAGAAAACATCAGAAATTACTGAACCCTTGATAGAAACAATGGCAAGTGAACTAGAATTCAAGAAGGAAGTTGAGGCTGCCACACCATTAGTAAAAGATGATGTGACTGAGACAGCAGAGGAAGGCAGTGTGGTCATGATGATGCATGTGCCATTAGTAACTTTTGAGGACAATCACAGAATTCAAGTGCAGGTGGTTGATGTCAATATAAAATCAGCTGAGACAATTGTGGACTCAGTGCTAGAGGTTGGGGTAACAGAAGCTAAAGAAGTCATAGATGTTTGTCATGAAACGGTTGAGAAGGTAGAGAATCTCTCTGCAACGCCAGAGATTGAAGAGGAAATCATAAATGAGGAAAACAAGGTGGCCATTCAAGAAGTTATTCAACATGTAAAGAAGAACTTACCAGAGACAATATCCGAACCAGTGGTTGTAAACTTGCCAGATGCTGTGACAAAATTAAGTGAGATGGTTGAAAGTGAATCAAATGAAGTGGAGGATCAAAAAGTGATGGATGATAGTATTGCCATGTTCAGTGAGAGACAAGATGAAGCACCTGCTGTTATCAGTGATGACTATGCAACTGGACAGCAAGTGTCTGAGGATCTCATGCAAACACCTGATATTCTAGGAAGTTTAGATGTTTCTATCGATGATCACAAAGAGGATTTGAAGGAAACTAAAGCTGAACTCAAAAGCTCAGAAGTAGGTGTCACAGCAGAAGAGTTAAAATCAGAGGAATTAGATGCAAAACAAATTCATGAACAAGCACAAATTACACAAATTGCTCAAAGTCAAATTGTAACACCTAGTAACACTGGATTAGTAGTCCCCCAAAACACTGGAATAATCTCTTCAATAGGTAATGTGGAGTCCCCGTCAAGTCTTTCTCTAGAATTCAAACTTAACATACAGTTTGGACAAGCAAAGGCACCAGCTTCCCCACCCCCTTTGACGGAGAGAATTGCACCAGTAAAACAGACAGATGTGTCTGAGGTCGGAGTTCAGGTAGTAGAGGCAGTAGAACCCGAAAAGGCAATAAATCCAACACAAAGAGCTGAGAGCCAGAAACAGAAACAGCCAGAGCTAACTGAGGTTGCTGTTCAGGCAACAGAAATTACAGAACCAGCAGCAAACTCAGATTCAACAGAAAGAGCCATGATCACAAATCAAACTGTCCTGCTGGATGTCGGCATACAAGCGATAGAAACAGTAGAACCAGTAGAACAAGTCAAATCAACAGAAACTGTAACCTCCAGTGTCCAGGCAACAGAAATTACAGAACCAGCTACAAACACAAATTCAACAGAAAGAGTCGTGATCACAAATCAACCTGTCCTGCTGGATGTCGGCGTACACGCAATGGAGACAGTAGAACCAGTAGAACAAATCAAATCAACAGAGACTGTAACCTCCAGTGTCTATGCGACAAAAACAATACAACCAGTAAGGCCAACAGAGAAAAGAGAAGTCTTCCTGAGCCAGCCAGTAGTCTCTGAAGCTTGTCAAGCAAGCCAAGAAACAAAAGCAGAAGAGCCTGGTAAACAAACAGAGGAAAATGACCAGGATGTGTGGATGGATGCTGAGGAGGTCATTTACACTCAGGAGGAAACCGAGTTGTCCTTTCTTGAGGTGGATGAACCTCCAGAACCCCAGACAGAAAGTGAGCAAGAGGAAAAAGCAGGACTCGGACATGAGGTTGAAATGGCTCCTAATTTCAAGACTGAGGAAGAAGAAAGTCAACAGGAAATGCACAAAACAGGAACTTGTGAAGTTGAGAGTGAAGGTGAAGATTTCGCTGTTGCACTTGAGCATCTTGAAATTGCAACTGCGAGCGCCACTACAATGGAGTTGGATTAATTTAACTCAACTACAGCGTTACTTATCGGTAAGGCCTTTCTCGCTTTTTTTTTGTGTCATTTTTGCAATGTTTTGCCCATAAATCAACTTGCTCCTACAGATCATGCATCACATTCATTGGGATATCCAAATTATTTAACATTATGCTACATTTCTTTCTTTCAAGGTTGGACAATCAAAAACAAAGTTTTTAAAAAAGCTGTTATTGGGTGTGATTAATGAGAGACATCTGGCAAGAGGAGCATCAACTGGAAAAGTGCTAATCTTCTCAGGGGAATGCAGCGTGATTCTCCTGTTTGACAGTGAACTACATCCATTATGCAATGGCAATTTAGATAAATGTAATATGCTATAGTGCAACTTTTAATACTAATCATGTCAGGTCTTATCAATCATAAATTATGTTTTTTTGCAAAGATCTATCTCACTCGGTTATATATGTCTAAGAGAATAAGGCAACATTTTTGTTAACGGTTTTGTGCTTCAAATACATTTGTGTGCAACATTTATTCTTAATGTACCGTCCCAGGCACAGGACAAATGTTAATTTCTCCTGACACACAAGGATGCTATTAATATATCATAATATGTAGATATTCCACAGCCTTTACTTTGTATCTTCTGTGTTCCTAAATTGTTTTGTCATGAAGAATTTGTTTAATCATTTCACTTAAATACATGTTCCCAGATGACAACAATAGACCTGAGCATAGTAGTACTATTGTATATTATCGTGTACATAATGACTATTTTAATGCTTATACAGGCAGAAATGTGCTCATTTTGAACAATACAACAATAATTTCTACTCTGACAAGTTTAAAATAAGAGCATGACGAGAGCATGGCATATCGTTTTTAAAAAAGTAATAATTATTTACACAATATTTTTATTTTAAGTTAAATTTATCTTCACATATGTATTTATCATTAATATAATTATAATC